ATTAACTATTCACACTACCAACTAAAGACAGTACCAATATCGACCACCTTATATTCATAGAATTCACCAAGATCACATTACAGAAATTTTCTTTGCTAGCATATCTCATACACCTCTCAAATCTCCAACTGAACGAGTATTAAATCAACAAGCCAGAGATTTTGATCAAGACACTGAAAATTTTTTAAATCAACTTCAACAATTCCTAGCACCTGACGAGAATCAGGGGATGAAGCTTCAGAAACTGCTACTGTTCACAATCAGGAAGAAAACTCTGATCAAGAAAAAAACTCTGAACAAAGAGAAAACTTAATACGTGAAGAAGCAAATCTCGACCAAGGAGAAAACATCATATGTGAGGAAAAAAACTCTGAATCCGAAGAGGAACCTGACCAAGAACTTGATATTAATGAAGAACCGATTGACAAAGAAGCAATGAATGAAGCTGCACAAGCTATGACCCATCTCATCGAGATAATGGAAAGAGGAGGAGCAGGTAAAAAGAATCTAATCAAAGTAGAACCTTTTTCAGGTAATAGCACCCAAGACCCACTTGACTGGTTGGAAGAATTTGAACGTGCTGCAAAAGCTAATGGTTGGAGTGAAGCTCGAAAATGTGATTTAGCTAAAGTTTATATAACTGAAATTGCTGGTGAATGGGTTCGAGGATATTTGGATGCCCAAATGGCATACTATGATTATTGGGATCATCAAAATATTAGTTTTAAACCTCTTTTTAAAGCTAAATTCTTTACAATTCTCTAAAAAGCAAGATGGCAACAACAACTCTTTAATTTCAAACAAGGGAATGATACTGTTAATGCCTATATCTCAAAATTTAAAAACTTAAGTCAAAAAATTGTAGGCCTCCCTGATCAATTTATCCGCCAACATTTTATTCAAGGACTACGACCAGAATTTGCTATGCCTATTCAAGCTGCTGGACTTGATAACCTTGTTAATATTATGAATGCTGCTAGAAATTGGGAAACAGGAAAACATATTGCTACTCCAGAAACAGAAACCAACAAAGCAATTGCCTGACTTACTGACCAAATTGCTCAACTTAGTATAAACCTGGCCCAACAACAAACCAAGCCAGCCTATGCTGCAAAAACTAGACAAGGTTCATCTAAGGATGATGCTATTTGCTACTTTTGTGGCAAGAAAGGACATTTCTTTGCTGACTGTTTTAAGAGAAAATCAGGAGGAAATAGAAATAGTGGAAGAGGCAGAAGCAATAACTACAACAACAATAACAGCAACTATAACATATACAACAATAACAACCGAAGAAACAACTATAATGATAGATCCAACAACTATAGAAAAGACAGAAGCAGAAGTCAATCACGTGATAGAAACAGAAACAGAGACAGAAACTATTTTCATAATAGAAGTAGATCTAGAGATAGAAGTCAAGAAAGATGGGGACCCAGATCAAACCGCTTACCCTCACTCTACTATCGAAATGTCAACCTAGCTGAAAAATCAAACTCTAAACCTGACTCTAAACCTTCGAATAATTAGGAATGTCTGTTAGACAACTACTCCATTCGCACAGCTCTTACCGCATATATTGTCGTATGGGTTAACAAATGGGGTTAACCACTTGAAAATCTAGCCTGGAGTGTAACGTCTGCCTTGGATACTCAATGTAGGCAAGACCGTTTTTGATTCAAGTCTTAGTTGAGCAACTCTATGTTGCAACAACGTGGTGGTAACAAAGGTCAGGTTTTGTATTTTATCAAATGTGTGTTTTTTATTAAGCGTGAGAAAAAAGAGACACTTTCGCTTATTAATTTCTTCTCTTATTTATATTACATTATCAATGTATTAAACTACAAATTAATTACACATTCCTTATGTGCGATAATGCACATATTACCAATAAACTTTACTTGCATGAATATTTACCGATCTAATTCATGCATCATCATGTTCATCACGCCATCAGTTCCTGATCCAACATTTCCGATACCTCACTTCCGATCATGCCCCGAATGTAGTACAAAGGGTACTGGTCGTTGCTACGACAGGAGCTAGACCCCCTATGACCTTCGTCCTCGAAGTCATCAATATCATATTTACCTTCTCTATCCATCCAAGGTACCCCTTGTTTCAACCTTTTGACTCTATTTCTGGTAAACGGATCTATTAACTCACTTCTATCTACCTCATTTAAATACAGATGTCTCTTTTCGCCAATTCTTCGTACAATGTACGGCCCAATCCATCGATATTCCAATTTTCGTGGAGAGTTATCAAGTGTAGAATTGTACACTAAAACTAAATCACCCACTTCAATTCGTTCCTTATTATGATTGGCATGTTCATTATAAAATTCCTTCCATTTTTTCCAAAGTTCATCTCGATTTACCTTTGCTTTATGCAATTCATATACAAGTCCTTTAATTTGTTGTGTTCGGAAATTTAATAATTCGTCAGTTGTCCAATTTTCCTTCGTCATAAAAGTTTGATAGCTTTCTAATGTCAATTCAACAGGAGTTATGGCATCACGGCCATATACTAGCCTAAAAAGTGAGTAGCCCAACTTTCCCACGGTAATGTTTAATGCCCATACTGCAGCACGTAAGTGTTCGTGCCATCGGTTTTGGGCCTGAGCGCACACTTTTCTGATGATTCGAGTCAATTTTTGCACTGTATGCTCAGCCCTACCATTGGCTTCTGGATGATAACTAGCAGTAAATTGTTGCTTCACTTGTAGCCGAGCCGTTAATTCTTCCATTAAGTTATTTTTAAATTCCGTTCCTCTATCTGAGGTTAATTCAGCAAAGCATCTATACCGTGTAATCACTTCTTCCCACACAAATGCTGCGATTGTTTTTGCATTTTTATTTCTTAATACATGTGCTTCTACATATCCAGTTAAATCTTCAACTGCAACGACAATATGTTCGTGACTAGCCGAAGTTCTAGGCAAAGGTCCAATGCAGTCAATGTAGAGCTTATGAAAGATCCAACTCGTGGCCGTCACGTGAATAGGTTCCTTCAGTTGTTTGCCAATGCACATTTGATATACTTGACAGGAAGATACATAATCTTTTACATCTTTATGTATGCTTCTAGAACCCCACACATAATTTAATAATATTTTTTTGACTGTCTCATTTAATCCATGGTGTCCTCCTTCACCGGCCAATCCTTCATGATTTGCCATTAGTATTTCGACTTTATCATGATCATTCATTATTACACGCCGTGGAGGCAAACCACCTTTTGCCCTTCTGAATAATGTGCTGCCGATTATGCAATATTTTTTAACTTTAATTTGTAAACGAGGCAATTCTTCTTTCATCACGTAATTTGGCCATTGCAAAGTTTTGAGGTAATGCTTAATAATTTTCAAGTCACGTTCATATCGATTGTCACATACACCCACTTGTAAGAGCTTTGAATCTACAAACTCTTCATCTGAAGGTCGATTTGTAGGTGTAATCGGGTCAGGTATCTTGATAGTCCATCTGCATGTCCGTGCTTTTTGTCTGGCCTATAATGCACTTTAAATTCAAACGCTTGTAGAGCAAGCAAGCACCCATCTCATCAGATGTCTCTTTAATTGAGCTTTGTTAAACAACCATTCTAGGGCCTGATGATCGACTCATATGTCGAAAGTTGTGCCTGCTACATATCTTTCACATACTGTACATTGCAACCAAAAACTATACCTAGACATTCTTTTTCGGTCACGGTATAGTTTACTTCATGAGAGTTTAATTTTCTTGACTTAAAGGTCACAGGACAAAGCTTATCTTAATTGTCCTTTTGTTCCAAAACAATGCCCAACGATACATCACAGGCATCTGTACTCAATTGGTATGGACGGCTTCTATTTTTGGCATCTGGGTCCTTTTAGCATTATATCCTGAATCATTTTCTCTTTGAGTAATTTAAATGATTTCTTATAAACATCACCCCAATTGAAATTAATATTGTTCTTTGTTAAGTCAGTAAGAGGTTTAGTGATTGAGCTAAAACCTTTCACAAATCTCCTATAATAATTTACAGTACCAAGGAACAATTGAACCTCTTGGACATTTCTGGGTGTTTTCCGTTATTAATTTTATTTGTTCGACTAGGATCAGGTTTAATACCATGTTTCCCAACAATAAATCCGTACATATTAAGTTCCTTATATAGAATGCGGCACTTTTTTGCTGCAAAGGTAAGCCCAGCATTATTAAATGTTTGTGCAAGCTTAATGAAAGCATCGATGTGTTCTTCCACAGTCCCCCAGGCCAAAGTTCGATATCATCCTGATATGCGGCAGCAATGGATTTCCACTCCTCACCTCCAATTAACTTATCCATCAAATGCTGAAAAGTTTCGCTAGCGTTTTTGAGTCCCATGCATATAACAGTATATCGTAGTGTGTCTAAAGGGGTAGATACTGCTACTTTATCTTTGTCTTTGTCACGAATGCGTATTTGCCAATAGCCTTTGTATGCATCTACGCTAGAGTACCAATCGTGACCAACAGCTTTTTCTAGTATATCTCAAATGATGGGTAATGGATACCCGTTCTTTACTTATATATTTATTCAACGGCCTCATATTGCCGACTACTCTTAATTTATCTGTGCCACCTTCCTTTTTTTTCACAGGGAAGCAACGGTAGGCATATTGCCCTACTCCCTTTTCTAAAAGTCCACACTTTAACATGTCTTTCAAATGTTGTTCGAACATGAGAGCATATTAATTTTGATTGGACGCATATACATGGGTGGAACTTCTTTGTTACCAGTTCTGACTTCGTATTGAATTAAATTGGTCTTTCCGATTTCCGAGAGGTTAAATGCAAATACCTCCGGGACCTCTTTAATTAATTTTTGTTGCACCTGGTTTTTTTTATTTTCAGAAATGCTACTTCTGAAGTCCAATTCTTCACAATTTTCATTAGTTAGCCTCATCATGTGGTTTGTATTTTTAATATTTATATCCTCAGCGCATTTTCCTTGATCTGACAACCAATAGAGTATTCAGCCATGATGGCTTGAGTTTTGTAATGTTTCTGCTTCAATTGGTTGTATTTCTTCCATGTTAGGTTTGATTGTATCATCTCTTGTTTCATGTGTTCGGTCATTTCTGAACTTTGATTCTTCATTAACTCTTCGTACCATCATTATATCTTCAATGTTGTCGTCTTCATAATCATCATTGTGTCTAGCAAAACTAATCCAATTTTTTGGAACTATTGACATGATAAAAGATGCTTTCTTGTTATCAGATCTAACGGAGCACCATAATTGGTTGTTCTTCCATTTGAGGTTGCACCTGGCAGTAGCGAGCCAAGGCATACCTAATAAAACCTCAAAACTTGCCGCCTTCATTACGTAAAACCCTTGTAGAACTCTAACACCTTCCATCATAACTTCTATATTGGGTATAAACCCTACAAAGTCACTCAAGCGATCGTCAGCCATACGCCCTTTACTTGTTACAGGTTCCCATTGTAAATTCCTTTTTTTAGCATATGCTTCATGCATTAGGTTCAATCGTAAACCAGGATCAATGAGTGCTTCGACCAGGTCATTGTTTATTGATATAATTCCCATGAGAACATCCCCTAGCTTTAAATTCTGACCACTTTGTACACCGTGCACTATTCTTATTTCAGTGTTCATGAAAAGTATGTCATTTTCTTTTTTCTTTCGGGTTAAAGCCTTTAACACTTCCGTTCTGGCCTTAGGAGACCATTTGAACAGCGACCCAATGTAATTGGCAACTCCAACCCGGCTATAGTTTTTAATACATTTAATTCTTGAGTTAACTCGGAAATCGGAATATACATTATCGATTCTTTTTTACTTTGTTCAGGTTTGTCAGAAGCTTCCACGTATGTTCCTTTACTGGCCCATGTAGGCATCTCATTTTCATCATCATCGTTACAATGCCTTCTTTTTCTGAGGTTTCTAATGTCAAACAACATATCACTCCCTTCCACTTTTATCATTAGATATTCGTTGCTCTTGCTTGATGTAGTTTCCTTAATTTCAAAGAGTCGAACATTCAGGCCTCTAATTTCAGGATTTAAAATTTGATTATTTCTTTCTTCGTTATCGTGGTTATTGTTTTGTTTTTGAGCTCTAATCAGACAATTTCTTGCAATATATCCTTCTTGGTTACACTCATAACACCTTCGAGGCCTCGGTGCTTGGTTCTGATTGTTGAAATTTTGATTTTGTCCTAAAGGGAATGGCCTTTGACTTCGTCATGAATTGAATGTTCTATTATTTTCAGCAAGACTCATTACGGCTTTTGTTAATTCTTTAATATTAGACTCCAATTTATGAGCCCAATTCTCATCATCTTTCTTTTGTTCGACACAACAAATCTTTAATCCGGCAAAGTCTTTTGCAAGACTGTCAATATCTGTGTTGCTGGATTCTGTTGAGACTTCAGGTGTTGACCGATCCTTTTCTTTGCTATCATCTTTGTCCTTTCTAAAATCTTCAATTTCTAATACCCTCTTTTGTGCTTTATTATAATTTTTAGAACAACTATTTTCTACTTTAGTTCAGTATGGTTCATTTAGCCCTTGAATGTACCAATCGCGTTTTTCATCAATTCTTAAAGCATCTTTCACAGATTCTGCTTGGGCTTCGTATCGATTGGTGTATTCTTTAACCGATTCATTATCGTGTTGCCTCAAACGTTTCAGTCGATTGATATTAACACCATCTTCATTTTCTGATTTAATTTTTTCAATAATACCATCTTTTAAGGTTGATCATGTGGTACTGGCCTTTACTAATTTTCGAATCCATGGTCTCATTCTTTCCGGCATATGCATATAGACTCTTCTACCTTGAGTCTCCTCATTATATTTTTTTGCTTTCATGTATCCTTCGTAATCATATAAAAAATTTTCGTGTCATCATACTCTTCACCACGATAAACAGGTATCGTGGCGTCAGAATTTCTCATAGTGTTATAATGTTTTTTTAATGTTTCTTATTTAGAATAAATGTTGATGTGTAGGCCGTTACTTGTATAATCATAAGTTGTGAAAAAAAATTTGTCTTTTTTTTTTTTTTTTTTTTACAAGTAAACGATTTCCTTTTCAGTTTGTATGTCCTATCTTAATGTGAAGGATGTTGTATCTTGATGCGAGAGTCCTTGAATAATGTGCCCAGGTTCTTCCTTGTCATATGGGTTAACAAATGGAGTTAACCACTTGAAAATCTAGCCCGAAGTGTAACGTCAGCCTCGGATACTAAACGTAGGCAAGACCGTTTTTGATTCAAGTCTTAGTTGAGCAACTCTATATTGCAACAACGTGGTGGTAACAAAGGTCAGGTTTTGTATTTAATCAAATATGTGTTTTTTATTAAGCGCGAGAGAGAAGAGACACTTTCACTTATTAATTTCTTCTCTTATTTATATTATATTATCAATGTATTAAACTACAAATTAATTACATATTCCTTATACGTGATTATGCATATATTACCAATAAACTATACTTGCATGAATATTTACCGATCTAATTCATGCATCATCACGTTCATCACGCCATCAGTTCCTGATTCAACATTTCCAATACCCTCACTTCTGATCATGCCCCGAATGTAGTACAAAGGGTACTGGTCATTGCTACGACATATATTACTAACATGAACCAAGAAAATACTAAACCAACTCTAGAGGATAACAACAATATCACCTCTGTCAAGTGTTTTGTAGACTTAAAGGACCAAACCTACCCTGCTATCATAGACAGTGGAGCCTCTGTTAGCATGATTGCTCATAAAGTTGTAAAGGAATTAGGACTAGAAATAAATAAACCTTCCAAAAGCTTGATTGTGGCTATTACCGGAACTACATCCAGACCTCTAGGCATTATTAGGAACTTACCTGTAAAGATCCAAGGTAAAACCATCCCTATCGACGTAGAAGTAGTATCTGCTACTTCATATTCCCTACTTCTAGAAAATAATTGGTCTCAAAAGGTTGATGCCAATTACAATTGGAAAAATCACCAATACACTATGTATTGGAAAGAAAAGAAGTTAACACTTAATACTTCCTATGAACAGAAACAGCCCAAAGAAAAACAATCTACCTGTATTACTTCAGAAGACTTTGAATTATATGAGCAGGAATACCTTACTTCTCACAAAGCTTATGCTTTCACAGCAACAAATGAAGGAGAAGAGGGATAGATTGTCTATACATCTTGCTATAGAAATCAATCTATGTGCAAAACTTGTGGTCTTAAAGATCACAAATACAGAAACTGTCTGCAAAATGAATGCCACTACTGCCATAAAAAGGGCCACATCCTCATCAACTGTCCTAGCAAACAAAGTAAAAGAGCCAATTGTAAAAACTATGACCAGACTAACCACCTATTCAAGGACTGCCCTCTGAACTTGTGTTTTTGGTTGTAAACAAACTGGACATATCGAAATAAATTGTCTATTAGCCCAACAGAAACTAGACAACCAGACCTATTGCTGTAGCTATAACAAAGCCCAAGTTGAAGCTAAAAGATTAGTTCATTTTAGCAAGCATAGAACCCACCACTACTGCCAATGCTTAACTCTACAACGATCGAATGATCTCCACCTTTTGGATAACCAACTTGTTTGCACGACCTGTTACAAAGGTTTTTATGAAAAATTAGATTTTGATAACCCTCGAAGCCAAGAATATCATCGAACAGGACTAGGAAGAGGAACCCTAGTTAATTGTAAAATCTGTAACCACCAACTATCTAGAATGAGAATACACAGATTGGAAAGCATTTGAGAAGAGCTTTAGTTCTGTGAACTAGAGCATATGTATGCCTATAAAGTAACCCAGGATTTACTTTATAATCAGAACTATGAGATTTGGACAAGAATCAGGCATTATACTGAATCCACCTATAATGCTAGACACCAATACAACCTTAACCAAACCAAAACCCATAGACTTGTTCAAGTTTTATTGGAAGAGGAAGACCATGTTCAAATTACAGAAGCATTAGAGGAACAAGAAGATGACCAATATAACCGTAAGTGGACCTCTGATAAAATTACTATCCTCCTTAGATTAGACTATGAGGAAGTAATTTAACCGAAAATAAGAAAACTACCCTACAAAGAATTTTACAGGAATCATTCGACACCTCTTTACCAAACTTTGACTCTTGCAAAGCTATAAAAAATCTACGTAAAAACTTTGAAGAAAAAGTTGCTCTTTGTTTAGAGTGCCTTCTTGCTAAGCAGACCGAAGTGTTAGACCCAAACCAAGAATTTTGCAATAAGTGTTATCAGGAACTTAATAAATTCACACTCCCTGAGGAAGTAGACCTGGAATCATCTACATCCAACTCTTTAATAATAGTTGAGAAAGAACCAGAATCTATATCTATGAATTGAAAAGGAAAAGAAAAAGAATTAGACCCAGAAGCTCAACAACAAATTATTGAATACTTAGAAGCTTGTGTTCAATATCTAGAAGAGATGAATAAACAGATAACCAACTTCTTTAAGGATAAAATCCTATACCACCAGGAATATGCTAAATACTACTCTCAACTATTTGCTCGTTGAAATTTTTAAATTATTCTAGGCATGATGAAAAACTACCTGAGAAACTAGAATAATTACCAACAGAAGAACAAGCCCTGCAGCTGGCTCTGCAAAGAAACACTATTAAATATAATTTTGTATATACTATAGACACTTTGATACCATATAAGGAGTATGTGTTAGAAAAGACAGATACAGTAAACATTGGACTATTAACTAAAGAGCAAGGAAAGAAATTTAATGCCTTGTTAAAAGAATTTTCAAATTTATTTGCAAAAGATATTTCCGAACTAGGACAAACTAGTCTTGTATAGCATAAAATTTACACAGAAGATGTATCACTGATTAAATCTCGACCTTATAATATACCCCCTGATGAACAAGAATTTATCAAGGATAAAATAGAAAGAATAATTGATAGTGGAATAATTTAGCCTACAGAAAGCTCTTGGGCATCCCCTGTTGTTCTTGTACATAAAAAGAATAGCAAATTAAGATTTTGTATAGACTATAGAAAACTTAATGGAATTACCAAGAAGGATGCTTACCCATTACTACAAATACAAGAAATGTTAAACACTCTATCTGGATCAAAATGGTTCTCTACTCTTGATCTTGCTAGTGGATATTGGCAAGTTATGATGGACCCCAAGAATAGAGAAAAGACTGTATTCATCACTAAATATGGCATATACGAGTTTAATGTAATGCTATTTGGATTGTGCAATACCCCTGCTACTTTCCAATGACTTATGGACCGAGTTTATAAAGGAATTGCTTGAAAATTTGTAGTTGTGTAGTTAGATAATACCAATATATTTTCTAGAACATTTGATGAACACTTAGAACATTTAAAAATAGTATTTAGATGCATTAGAGAAGCAGAATTAAAACTTAATTTAGAAAAATGAAATTTCTAAATGATGTTCTTACTTTTCTTAGGTCACATCATTAGTAAAAAAAGAATAGCCCCAGACCCAGCCAAAATAGAGGCAGTAAAGAAAATCCAACCTCCTACAAACACCACCAAGTTACGATATTATTGACAATTCATCTGAGATTTTTCAGCAATAGCTCAACTGCTAAATTAGCTATTGCATAAAGACGAACTATACCATTGAGAAAGCAAACAACAAAAAGCTTTTGATATTTTAAAAGAGAAGCTTGTAACAGCACCTATACTAGCCTATCCTGATTTTAACAAAGATTTATCTTGCTACAAATGCGTTGTACTATATATTTGGAGCCACTCTTAGTCAAAAGAATAAAGATAGCAGAAAATATCCAATTGCCTATACAAGTAAAAGCCTACAACCCGCTGAACTAAATTATTTTGCAACAGAACTGAAATGTGCTGCGATAGTATGGGCTATAGAGCATTTTCATAATTACTTGGGAGCTACAGAATTTACTCTTGTAACTGACCATCTTGCATTAAAATGGCTTAAAACTGCTAAACCCAAAAGATGAATTAGACGCTAGATTTTGAAACTTCAACCTTAAAATTTCACAATTATACACAAACCAGAAAGGATTCACTCTAATATAGATGCTTTATTGAGAATCTGACCAACAAGTTTAATATTATAAATTTAGATCAATATTATAACTTGTATAATTATTTAAACTCTGAAACTATACCAATCAACAGAAACAACTAATAAATCAAGCGAAATACTTCGAGATTAAAGACAAACTTTTGTATAAAAAGAATAGAAAGAACCTAGACAAACCTCTACGAGTTGTAAAATGGACAGAAGTAGACCCAGTACTCTACATAATGCATAGTCATCCTATTGCTAGACATTTAGGAATTGATGCTATGTTCTATAAAATTTTAGAACGATACTATTGGGATAGAATGTATAGAGATATTCAAGAATATGTTAGAACTTGTGAAGTTTGCCAAAAGCAAGACAAATCACAAAGAAAAGAACCACTTCACCTTATAAAGATTGGACAAGCTTTTAAATGAATTGGAATAGATTTAGTAAGACCTTTACCTATTACCAACCAAAATAATCGCTATATCCAGATTACCTAACTTGATAACTAGAAGCCCAAGCAGTACCAGATGCTAGTGCTGCTACACTTGCCCAATTGGTATTCACTGAAATAGTGTATGGACATGGTATACCTAAAATTATTCTCTTGGACCAAGGACCTAATTTTAGAAGTGATATGATTAAAATTTTGTGTGAAAAGTTTTTAATAAAACACAAATTTTCATCACCATATCACCCACAAACTAATGGAATGGTAGAACGATTAAATAGAACACTATGTGAATCTCTTGCAAAAGTTGCTACAAGCAAGGATTGGGATGTTTATCTACCCCCTATATTATTTGAATACCAAACCAAAAAGCATGCAACCACCGGATATACCCCATTTCAACTAGTTTATGGACGGCAAGCTACCCTACCAATTGAGTTAATCTACAAACCTCAGAACCAGAACCAGAAATAGACCTAGAAAATAGTATACTAACCCAAGCCTATGAACTAATAGACCAATTAGAAGAAACCCAGGACCAAGCTAGAAAAAACACCAAAGCATCACAAAGAAATCAAAAAGAAAGACATGATGCTTAAATAACACCAATAGAATTCGAAGTTAGTAACAAAGTTTGGATCCAACATAAAGATATTGTTGCTTTACGATTTGTGAAATTTGAGGAAAAGAGAAAAAGACCTTATACGATATGTGCCAAACTCGGAAATAGTAAATACAAATTACGAAACCACAAAGGTCAAATCCTCAAACAATATTACAATAGCGATAGACTTGAAAGATATTACGAACAACAAGGATGAGAACCACAAATTATTATCAAAACTCAATAAACAGGAGACTTAGAATTTTATCAGCTTAAAAATTTTTTTATTTATTTATTTTATTTAGTTATTAAACCCAGAATAGTTACATTAGATAGATAGTTTGTTAGACTTAAAAATTAAAAACTAAAAAATTTATTGAGGAAAAAGAAAGAAAAATAAAACAAAGAACAAAGAAGAACTAGAATAACCATCA